TTTTACTGTTTATGGAAAATTTTTAAATCCCTTATTCAAGGAAAAGAAATACATAATATTATAAGGAAGTATCTAAATAAAATGTAAATTAGTGTATAAGCACAATTGTATAAAAGAAATTCCATCAAATTTTCATGTATTTTATATTATATTAAAAATTTTCATAAATATAATTTTTTACATATAAATAATAATAAAAGTTATTTAAAATGTGAATTTTTTATTTAATATAAAAAATATTTAATAATAACATATTTAATAATAATATATATTATAATACATATTTAATAATAAAATAAATTTTGTGTAATAAAATAAAACAAAAAAACATGTTTTTAATTTTCTGCATAGAATACCAAAAAAAAAAAAACATAAAACCGTACAAAGCAAACGCTTTCATCCCTCAAATAATTTGTGTGATGCACGTTTGTTTGCATTGTGCGCTCTCACTTCACCTTTTGCTTACGAAGTCTTCGAAGTCTTCGAAGTTTTTCACTACATTTAAACTTCGAAGACTTCGAGAACAAAAATTCATAAAAACTTCGAAGTTTTTTCCAACTTCGAAGACTTCGTTGAAATGCGAATATTCGAATATTCGAAGAACTTCGAATTTTTAAAAACTTCGAATAATGTGAACAGCACTATTCCAAATACATAATTCATCAAATTTAAATATATTAATTAAATGTTATATTTTTCATACATTGTACTTAAGTGGCAATAAGTGTACAAACCTTCTTATTAACGTTTGGCTAATAGAAGATTGAAAATCTTTGGGCTACTTTTCTTGCCGACCGGACAGAGCTCTCATCCTGTGAAGTTATGAGCTTAGTGCGGTTTATAGATTTATGAAGTTGGTTCACATTTACAAATCCTTTCAGCTTTATTTATACGCTAACTGCTGCGGTCCTTTTAGGAGTCCAGATCACAATTCGCATTCTAAGTGGGCTTTAGTGTACATGGCCGCTATTCCAACCTCACCTTGCCTAACCTCAATTATAGTTAAAATTCAGCAACAATATCTGCTTTTAATTTTTATTATCTGTTAAATCGAAAATTATCTACTGACAGTAAAACTAAAAAAACTAAAAAAATAACGCAAATCCAAAAAATGAACCATAATTTAGCATTTCATATATATTTAAAAACAATCAAAGTCATAAAAATAAAATAATATTACAAAAACTTATATTCAATTACTTAGTCGAAAATAAAATTTTATATTTTCGACAACATTTTCTTAATGTCCTTGTTTTGGTTACGCACTATGAATTTTATTTTTATTAATATGAAAATAAAATTAAACCCCTTTTCACTATATTTACTTTAATGTACTTGTAAAATTTGACTAAATAAACATTAAAAATAATTTTTATTTTTTTATTTTTTTTTTAGCATCGCTTAATTCAAATCGAACATTACGATGAATATCCTTCACGCAACAACACTTTTGCTATTGAGTTTGTTTTGCCTGAGTTTTGCCTGTGGTGAGCCAACATTCCCAGAAGGCAGTAATCCCCGCGGTAATCCCTCAACTAATCAACAAAATACGCTTTTCTCTGAGGCTGATCTTGATTCACGCAACTCCGGAGATATCGACAGTTCCAATTATGATAAAAGGGTTGAACGTTATGCTTTCGGTTTGGGTCGGCGTGCTTATACCTACACAACTGGACCCAACGGTGTCAAACGTTTGCCAGTCTATAACTTTGGTTTGGGTAAACGTGCTCGTCCTTATTCGTTTGGATTGGGTAAACGTGCTGATTATGAAGATGAGGAAATCGATTTTGATCCTGCATATTTAGCTTTTATGGGTATGTAAAAGTTGAAAAAAAACACGCGTCATAACCTAAAAAATATTTTTTTTTTTTTTTCAGATGAAAAACGAAATCGTCCTTATAGTTTTGGTTTGGGTAAGCGTGAGCGGCGAGACCAAGCAAGTAGATATGGTTTTGGACTTGGCAGACGTTGAATATATTCCATTTAAAATGCTTACGAATTTTTAGTTTACGGAGAGGCAAAACTGAATTTTTTCCTTGTTATTACTATTTTATGGCACATTGACACAACATACACTAAACAGCAATATCTATTGCGTCTATGTATTTTCCAGCCAAGTCAATTCATTTAATATAGTTCTAACAGAAGAAATTCAAATATTTATTTCATGAATATTAGACATAATTGGGGCAACAAAAATCTATAATTTAATTTTTAAGTAATACAAAGACTATTCAGAATTTTCATCGGGCAATAAAGGAAAATATTATACAGGAAAAGTCAAAAAGCCGATCTTTAATTGGAAAGTTGAAAAGTTAAAGTTTTATTTTGACATTATTTTAAATTAGCTTATGAATTAAAAATGTTCACAAAGTAGTTAAAATATTTATTAAAACTATATTATACCTATTATATTATTTCAAATACTACATTGTTTGGTGCCATCTAAATAAGAGTTTCTTCTAAGAAAGCATTCCACTCCTTTGGAGTGTTTTCGTATGATATGACACGAGGGAAGTACTATATTAATTTCTGATCATTTTAATATTTCTTGTCTTAATATATATATGAAAATTATGTATAAATATTTATTATAACATTTATTTCCATATTTAGTTGATTTTGTAAAATTTATCGTAAAGTAAAATTTAATGCTATATAAAAGTTATTAATCAGTATTTAAAAATGTTTCTTATAAACTATTAGAGAAATATTTAAAAAAAATCATATATATAAATAAATATGTAAAATATGTTGTTAATAATATAAATATATATGTTTTAAAGAAATCAAATATATACGATATATATAAATATATATATATATATAAACATGTTTAATGTGCAATTAACTTTTCATGTGTGTGTGTAATTAAATTAAAAAATATTTAAAGAAATAAAATAACAATATCAATGCATTCGTTGTAACTAAGGCAAGGAGAAGCTGTATAAGATAAGAATACCTATAATTTATATATATATAATATGAAATACATGCAAAAATATTTACTTAAATATATAGAGCAAACTGCATTAAGTTTTTAAATATTCTTTACTTATTTGTTTTACAATAATGAAATAAATAAAATATTAATATTAAAACATTTTTCAGAATGGTATTTAGCATCATATTTCAAAGAAAAAATGTCAATATAGGATATCTGAAAATATAAACAAAAATAAAAAAATTAGAAAACTATTATTAACATAGTAAAATATGGACCTGTAACTACCGATATGATATAATTGGTCATTAGTAAACCTGTAAACCTTAGTATGTCAAAAGAATATAAATAAGCCAGATTACCCATTTTAGAAGAAATCACAATTTTTGATGGTAGAATTTTAGAAATCTAGATAGTTTATTTTAACATTGTACTAACTTCTTCCGTTCTTACTTTTATATAAAGAACTAAGCAAATTTTCTAGATAGTTTATTTTAACATTGTACTTACTTCTTCCGTTCTTACTTTTATATAAAGAACTAAGCAAATTTTTTTATAATAAAGAAATATAAGAAAATATGCTTACATATCCAAGGAAAAAAGAAATACTTTCTCTGGAAATGCCCAGACCTAGCAAGATTAAGACTTTCTACTTAGTAGTGGAAGTTCACGAAATTAGGAGCCTGGCCGACATCACAAACATGGATATTCAAAAAATAAACTGCCTTATTACCCGTTCGATTTGGTTTCGAAACTAAGTTTTTTATAAGTATTATCAAAATGGTATCAAAATGACGTCTCTGCACTACTTGAACTAGAAAAGCATGGCCGCTATTAAAACCAACCAATCATACGTAAAAATGTTTCTACTCACCTTAAGGTTCCAGTTTCACCTTAAAAAGTCAAGAATATCAGATTAGTTCACCTCTGACAGTTTTTAGGCATCATAAAGTAGTATTCTTATAATGAGTTATCAAATAGTACGGTTCTATATTGGTCGAAGTGGGTGCACGAATTTTAGTTACAGACAAAACCGAATAAATAGTTTATAATCGTTATGTTTTATTATACATTCACCATTATTTTCATTTCTGTTTACTCTTTCCAATAAGTTTACTTTGCATATAACTTGCGATGTATGTAACCTTCATTATTCCATCGCCTTCTTTTCTGTTCTTATATTAAATTATTTTAAAAACATCAGAAATCTTACATATACAATCTTTATATCCTTCATTTAACTGTGAAAATATAGAGAACATACACAAACTATATATATTCTTAATCAACACGATAAGATCCACACTGTCTATTAATATTAATGTCTGAAAATTGGTCGGTAATTTTTTCGCAGACTAATCAAATGAGTACAATTCTCATTTTGAAACTTTCGACAGATCAAGTTCGAATACAAACTATCAATGACTTGGCCACAAAATATAGTTGTATAAAATAAATTTATATTTATTAGTTTAATTACATTTAATATCCTGAAGAACTGAAAGATGAAAATACTCCTAATATTAATTTAAATTTAGTTTAATTCACATCAATTATGACATAAGTCCTCATCACTTCAGGTAAACGAAGTTAATGCTAAACTTGGATGGCTGCTGCAACTACCAACTAGTTAAGAGTTGCAGGCTATTTGTCACTTGTTCTTACCACCGAAGATACCAAGTGATACCAAATACCACATTCAAGCATTCGAATTTTAATATTAAGTTAGTAAACTCATTGAATTTAATATGCTTAATAATGTTCATATCGCTTTTACATATCAATATTTCTTATTTGTTGATAGAGAGACGGCTTTATTGGCTCTCTATTTTAAAGCTCAACTGCTTACTTAGTACGAAGTTTTATCTATTTGCAAACGTGTTCGTTCGTTAAATCAATAGATTGACATTATTTTAGATAATTACACCAGATGAAATATTGAAATGCTGTGCCTGAGGCATCAATGTTTTCTTGTTCTACCTGGATTGCACTATCTATGCAATATCTACAAACAATTTATGCAAAACATATACCATGTTTAAAAATAAATAAATAAATACAAATATATTTGTACAGAACAAATAAATTTTTAATTTCTTTTTAGATTATATATCTGCCAAAAGTAATTAATCTTCAATATAGAACCATGTTTTTGGCGTGTAAATAAAACTTTGCAATACAGATAAGAAATAGTTTTAGATTTTATAATACTTCAATTAATGTAATGTTTATTTCAATTAAAAAATATTGGTAACATATATCATTTATTCAAAATTAATTTTATTTTTATTTTTTTTAATTAAAAAAGAAACTTTTTACATATTTTATTATTTGCAATACACAATATTCGCATTTAAAAGATAAAATATATATATTATGACATTAATTATCTACTTAATACTTAAAAAAAAACGACGTCCATAGTGTAAAATAAAACAAGACTTTACTTAAAATTCAGAATTTTGAAAGATTTATGTAATGCAGTCTATAAATTATGTTTTAAATTTGGGTATACTAAAAAGCTGCTTTAGAGATATTAATTTAAAACCTCAAATATAAATCTCAATATAATGTAATTTAGAGAGCTTATGTTATCAATTATTTATGAATACTAATATTAATCTAAATGAAGGAATTAGTTAGTCGTATAAAAATAAAATATGTAGATTTGTTGAAATCATTTCATTAATAAAATAAATAACGCTTATGTTACAGATATATAAAAGGAAACATATAATACAATTTGAAAACAAACGAATATAGTTAGAACAATTGGATAATAAGAAAGCTTATACTAAATAATATTAATACCTAACTTATAGAGCACTGTTTCAAAGGCATACACTGACGAAATAAATATATAGGGCTTATTGCAAATGACCCCATAATCTGGTTCTAAACTAGGTAAAGCACGACTGGAGAAAATTTTATTTTGTGGACAGCGTGGATTATTTGTTTTACGTATATTTTGTTTCATTTTTTCCTTTCGAGCTACCAACTTTCTAGTTTCCCTTAACAAAAACACCGAATTAGCACTTGTCATAAACTTATATATTATCTAAAAAAAAGTATATATGCATTATATATTCATATTGATTATAATTTATTAAATAATATAAGTACTTCTCTCTTCCTAGGGCAATGACTAAAAATCCAAATAAGCGTACATAATGTATTGAAAATTTCACAGTCCTTATCACACCATCGTAGTAACATCTGTGCAATAGTCACTAAACCACCTTCCTGGAAAGTATTTGCGGTTGTGCTATTGTAGCGCGCCAAATTTAAAATAATTCTACTGGAATATTCAATGATCTGCTTGTCTACTTCAGAACGTATTGCTTGCGCCATTGTGCCATAACAAAAGTTTGATATAAAATCGGATTGTGACATTAACAGGTGTGGCACCGTTCGCGATATACGATCTGATTATTACAAATAATATATTTATTAAATACTTTCTAACATAATATAAGAAATTTATACCTAAACGACTCAATACGTGTAAGCTCTCTGATACACAGAATCGTGAGCTTAGGACACGCACGGAGTCCTGCACTTTCCACCGTATCGATTGAAACGTTTTAGACGCGTCCTTCAGCAGTTTTATATTCCTGCGTATGGCTAATATACGTACATTGTGGAAACGTTTACGTATATTATAGCCACGCCAATATTTTTGTATGATTTTAACAGCTTTCTTCTGACGCATTAATTCAATCATTTCAGGTGTCAATAGTGCTTGAAAACGGGTGCGTGCTAGGAAACCACGTGCATTTGCCTGAAACTCTAATGTAGATTTCCTTAAATTAACAAAACGTAAACGCTCCTCTTGCATCAACTTCTGTCCACGGAATTTTTGCTGTAGATGTATAGTCACTTCCTTTAGCTTAAGATATTCAGAGCGAGAATGACGCGTTATTAAATACCCACGATATTTTTGCTGTACATAAATGACTAGTGTCCTTATTAACAAATATTGACTTCGCATCTTCAGCATAATAAGTCTCGCTCGATATCGATTCTGTAGAGTTATTGCAGCTGTTCTCTGTTTTTGATATGCTTGCCGGGCCTTGCTCATGGCTAATGTGGCACGAATTTTTCGTTGCAGGAGAGTCACTTTTTGCAATGTTTCTAAGTATTCCTGACGCACTAAACGTGCTTTTATTGTGGCACGCCACTTTTGTTGAATCAATATTATATTGCTGCGTGTTCGCAAATATACACTTCTTTCACTTTGCATCAAAAGTATGGAACGGTACCAGGTTTGAATTTTAATAACTGCAGCACGCTGTAGTCTATATGATGTTCGCACTTTATTCATTGTTTGATAGTTGCGATAATAGCGCTGAATAAGAATTATTTTACCGCGCTTTTCAAGGTATTGTGTTCGCAATTGACGCATAAGTAATGTAGCACGGACATGTCTTTGCAGGTTGACAAGAGAATTACGTGTTCGCTGGTACTCTTCTCGAGTTTTACGACCCAGTAACTTTGCTCTATAACGTTGTTGTATATAGACTATAAGTGCACGTTTATGATCGTAAATTTGCTTCTCTTTGCGCATCATTAACTTGGCACGATATCTTCTCTGCATATTAAGCGTAATTGTTTTGAGTTGCAGAAAGTCATTACGCACTTTCCGCATTTTTTGCAATGATCTATAATGTTTTTGGAACAGTACTGCTGCACGCTTTTGTTTCAAGAAAAAGTCTCTTTCCCGTTTCGTTTGTTGGTAGGAACGTACATATTGCTGTATGCAGATTGTAGCTTCTCTGACACCCCGATACTTGGCCCGCCAATAACGCATGTTTTTATATGCTCGAAATCTTTGCTGTATCGTTCGGACGGCTTGCAATTTTTCTACGTAAGCAGCACGTTGCAGTCGCATTTTATGGTTTGCACGGAATTTACGCTGCACAAAAATGGTGGCTAACCGCAATTCTTGATATTCTGCTCTTTGCTTAAGCATTAATTTTTTACAGCGAAACTTTTGCTGCAGGACTGTGGTATAGTATTGAAGTGAAATGTAGTGCGCACATACGCGTCGCTTTAAGAACGTAGCGCGAAGTTTGCGTTGTATGACAAGTGCACTTTGTTTCATTAGCAAAAACTGCTTCCTTTCACGCATCATGAGCATACGAGCGCGATATCGTTCCTGTACAATACAGGCACTTTTCTGTAGTAGCAAATATCGCTTTCGATGTAATAACATTAGTTTCTTTGCACGATATCTTCTTTGTACGGTAAGGGCAGCATCCCTTAATTGCAGATAAGATGAACGCTGAATTCGATTTGCTTTTATTGCCCGAAATTTTCTTTGAACTATAATAGCACTTTTACGTTGTAATAAAAATGTTTTCCTTATATTTGCTCCAATACGATAAGCACGCCAATAACTTTGTATATGTTGAGCTGCCAGTTCTCTTTCTTCGAGGTATCGTAATTTCTCTGCTTTAGCAAATTCCAACAGTTTTTTTGCAACTAAACGTTGTCTATACCGACGTTGTATTGTAATTGTGCTGGTCCTTAACGCTTGGTACCGCCGTCGACAATTCAAACCCTCAATATTTGCTCGATACCAGCGTTGAATGTAAATTACAGAGCATACCATTTTGAAAATATGTTTTCGTGAGAGAATACCACGTACGTGTTTTTGAATTAGTGTAGCAGCTTTCACACGCTCATCTTTATAGATCCTAACGTATTTACGCGAAATGTGACCACGGAAGAAGGATTGAATTTTTGTTGCTGCTGCTTCACGCTTTAATTTTATTTTATGTTGTATACGTCGCTGTATGTTCACTCGTAGCCATATGTTTCTCCACCATTTCTGTAAAACACTGGCTGCACCATGGAATTTAGGTGATCTAAACTTGTATATAATTTGCCATAACAACGATAGCGTTTTTTCACGATGACCATCTACTATATCAGTTGCTGATATATCACCTTTAAGCTCAAATTTAGCTTCGTTTAATGCACGTAGCGCAAGATTCACATTATAGACACGTTGTAGCCGTGATATGGCAGGTACACGCAACTGTTTAGTCATGTCATCTCGCAGTAATATTATCTCCATAACGCGTGTAAGACGAACACCGTCTCTTAAGTCTATGGCGATGTTATTAAATGCATAATCAAATTCATCCAAATAGCTTTGTTTGTGCTGTAACACGTAGCCGTGACGTTTAAGGTCACGTGTTATGTCACCTATATTTGCTAAAAGCTCAGAGGCGAATCGAAGTAATATCTCTTTAGTTTCCTTGTGTGGCGATTTTTTCACGAATAGGCACGGATTATGCTTAATGATACGTTTAGTTTTAGCTTTATCCAGGAATAGCAATAGAAATAGCATTTTACGTAGTGTGTGTTTTTTGATATAATCTGCGTACTCATCTGAAAGGCTGTAGGCTTTGGAAAACTGTTGCTCCTTATATTTGTCTCGAAACAATCTAATAAGGCACAAAAAAAAACAATATAATTTATATAATATAATTAATACTACTTTTCTATATTTAATTTATTGCAAGAAGAAAAAATGATGCAGACCGCCATTATAAGGTCTAACCATGACCAGTTCAAACTCAGTCTCATTCTATAAATGAGATAAGTGAAACATGCAACATACAACTGATTTGGATACTTGGTTATATTAATATTGCAAAACATTGAAAAGCTCATGTCCTAGTCACAGACAGCGATACTTTTCCTAATTTTATCATAATAACTTAACTGGATATCCCAGTTTTCTTCATTAAACAAAAAAATGGCGCAGATGGAACGAACCTGCTATATACTAACAATATACAACTTTAACCGAAAACATGCCACAAAAAAAGTGGCATGCATTTAAGTTGAATAAAAAAAACGTCAATACGCGCGACAGACCATTATTTAACGTACTTTGTCATTGAAATTGATAAGCGGCTCCAAGAGGTATACTCGGCCGTTCTTGAAACCATTATTATTTAATTTATATTCACTCATTTCTATTAGGTGTCCTAAAAATAAATTTATATAAAAATTATCAAGATAAAGGCAATCACAAACAACCCTCCATGCACAACGTTTTCTAAAGATTTCTAATTTAAATAATTAGTCGACCTTCGTTCAATCTACATAAAAATTCTCAAGATTTTTATTGAAAACCAAATAGCTAACTAGAAGGGAATTGAATTAACAAAATAAATTCCCTAACTTACTGACTTTAGACCTATGTCCATTATATCCAATAATACTGATAATAATGAGGAATTAAGCCATCACTTGTACCATATACAAAAGAATTATAAATACTAATTTTAATGTGTGCAAATATGTTCCATGTAAACAGTGTCAGAAATGTAACCACACAATCAATTTATCATTTAACAAGATTTAATAATATATCTTACCGATTT